CGTAAATGAAGTAATGATGGAAGTCATTGGCGGCACATTACTAATAACCAATGACCTACAACCCAGCTGTTCGTCACGTTTTCAACGAGAGGGCGAACATAGTCGACACAAGAAGCTGTCTTAGACCAAAACAGACATTGCGCGATGGCTTTTTTGACGAAAGAAACCATATTCCATATTAGAAGGATTTCTGCGTCTCCCATACCTCCGCTTTTAAACTTATGTTTTATTATCAAAGTCGCAAAAGCAGAACTCATCTTTGTACCTGTGTGAATTATCAGGGAGTAGTCCGGCCAGAGCTCGCTTGAAGTCTACATAGCTGTAATTTTCATCGAAGTCCGCATCAGTAGGGTACTCTGAGGTGTCAAGTTCTTTTTCACTAGACTGAATATGATTTAGTTTACCTCGAGGAAGTTGTCTAAAAACTCCTAAGATGGTAGGTATAGAAGGTTGTTGGATAGCAGGAGGTCGGAATGGGTTCCCGAAAGGGTTAAAGGAAACCTAAAACACAAATTACTCTTTCGGAGATGAGCAAAGAATGTCTAACTTGTAAAAACAAAGGTAATGTCAATTGTTGATGTCAACTTACCAAAACCTTCTTCACAACCTTGTCAAGTTCTGAAAGCGATTTTGTTCTCAAACAGTCCAGAGACTGAGCTGCAGAAGGTAAATCACACTAAATGGAGATTGATTACTGATATCCAAGACAAAAAATTTTACGTTCAAACATGCACCTCCAACTCAGTAACAATTTTGTGTGCAATTCTGGATGAGAATTTGTCTCTTCCCAGAATCCTCGTTTTGGAGTTTCCGTTTATTAGAATAGCTCTTTCAATCTCTGAAACATTATTTCCCGTAAACTTCAAGTGGTGGTGCAACTCACCTGCTCGTGAAAGAGCTGAGGCAACAGTCTCAGCCTCGACCGATTCCGCCCACACTGTTATATTCCCTATGTAAAGGATGTCGGCATTATCCTTTAAGAACTTTGCTGCATTCAAAACGTCACTTACTCCGAATGAGCCGTTAGCGAATGTACCTAATAGTGTTGTATTTCATTCTTACTGATGGATTAAGGAAGTAGTAAGCGGCAATTTGAAAACGTAATCATTATTAATTTACCTAAAACACCAGTTCTGATAGCTGCCACAACAACATTTAGCGAAGATGATACAAGTCCTGCCAATATCTTCTCACTCGTCTCTTCATTTGTGAAAATTAGGAGCGTATTCTTCTAAAACCTTTTTGTCAATACTATGAGGAATAGAAAAAAAA